CAGGGTCCCTCCTCACCGGCGACCGCGTGTGGCTGCCTGGCCGCAGGGTCCCTCCTCACCGGAGACCGCATGTGGCCGCTCAGCCGCAGGGTCCCTCCTCACCGGCGACCGCATGTGGCCTCCCAGCCCCAGGGTCCCTCCTCACCGGCGACCGCGTGTGGCTGCCTGGCCGCAGGGTCCCTCCTCACCGGAGACTGCATGTGGCCTCCTGGTTACAAGGTTCCTCCCCCCCTCCTCCTTTGCAGGCACTGGGATTGTGACGCATTTTGTTTCTCTAATCCCTAACAGCTGTCAGCCACCCTGCGGCTCCCCGTCCCCCTCCTCTCCTGCCCACTCCCCGAGGGGAGGCCGAACAACCAGGTCCCCCAGAATGAGGTCAACAGACGGGCTGACGGGAGGGAAGGAAAGACAGACCAGGCATCGCCAGCCTTTCCTGGAAACCCCGTGCCTCCTTCCAGGCACACGCTGTCGCAACTCTTCGCAAATCATCTCTCTGGACCTTTCTGTGTTATGAGCACTGGCTCTCTTTGCTTCTTTCTCTGAGTGTAGCCAGCACCCTGCCTCCCACCCCACTGCTTTCGACGGCCACAGAGCAGCTCCTGAAGGGAGTGTCTGCGATGGACTGTGTGTACCAGGAGCCTGGGATTGTACCCGGCCTGTGGCCACCCAGGCTCCTGGGGGTCGGCCCTCCCCACTCCCATCCTGTGACGCAGCTGGGAAAAGACAAGCTCTCCTTTTCAATCCGAGGCGGGGGTCTGCTGTTTCCTAGACCCAGCCCACCCCCATTACATGCCCTCGTAGCTCTATTTCCCGACCTTCCGTAAGACTGACCGCTTAGCACAGGTGTGCGTATACATGGAACACGCCTGACTACCTGCCCCCAGCTTGGTCACTGCCCAGACCCTCCAGGGGCAGGTCGTGCAGCAACTACGAGCAGGGTTAGAACCCACTGAGCTCTCCCTGCTCAGGGGCCACGGCTAAGTCACCGCGAGTCTTTGAGCTCGTCCCCTCTTCGTGTGAAAACGTGGTCCCTGGCAGAAGGGGTGCTTTTCTTACCCAGAGGGTGCACATGAGGCATCTGTAGGCACCGAGGCTTTCTGTGACGCTGGCCTCAGCAGTGACAGTGCAGGAAGGGGAGCAGTGGCTGGGCTGGGACGTCCAGGAAGGACTCCTGAGGGTCCTAGGATGTGGGCCCCGAAATCTGCCGCTGCCTTGGGGTGAATGAGCTGTTATAGCGGGCCCAAACCTCTGCTTCCAACAAGTTGAGGACAAAGCCTGAGAAATCGGGGGTCTTGTTGGGGTACCAGAGAGGGTATTAATAGCTCTGTCCACGCCACAATGATATTAATTAACACATATGGATCAATACATTGGTCAGTAAGCAACTCGTAAGGCTGGGAACACAACGAGGATGCCAGTAGGAGCTGCCGCTCAGTCCTCTGTGCAGGAGGGCTCCTGTCACGCCTCCCACCTGCCCAAGCTCAAGCCATGCTCTCACCAGCCTGGGTGGCAGGTACTCATCTCATTTCCCCAAACAGTAAAGCTCAGAAACACCACATGACTTGTTCCCAAACACAGCTGCTAAGCAGAGGTGACAGGATTTGAACCCACAACTAAGGGGGCCAAGCTCCAGAGCTTTTCCTCCCAAGTCCTTGCCATGCTGGCGTGGCCATATCTAGAGCTGTTTTTCAGGGCTCCAGACGCTGGGTCTCTGGCCACAGGCTCTACGTCCTCATCCTTAAAATGGGGACCGTGACGGTGCTCCCTCTCAGGGCTGGGGAGGGAATGAGGCGAGTTCACGCCTTCTAGGGCAGGGTCTGGCCCACAGCACGCCTGAAACACAAGCCTTGTTAACTAAGATATCGAAGGCTCCTAGAGATCAGGGTGTCCCACGAGGAAGCACTCCTCAGCCACCTGGGCTCACAAAGCACCTTGAGCAGGTTTTGGAGAAATCCACACCCCAGCATCGGCTCACCTGCCTCTCGCTGCAGCCCTTCCCTCCCCAGGGGCCCCTTCCCCGGTGATGTGACTTCCTGTGCTCGGAACCACACGTGGCGTCACGACACTAACAAGCCTATGAAGGCCTCACACTGACACCAAGGACCCAGCACACCTCCTCCCTCTCCAGGGACCTAGCGGGCAGGTGACTCGAGCAACCACACCCTGCTTCATCTCTAAGCCTGAGGCCGACGCAGCCGCTACCGCAGGGGGGCAGAGGAAGTGCAAAGTTTGGGGTTCCGGGGTGAGCACGGGCGCTGAGGAGGCTGCAGTGTGAAGGGCTGAGGGCGCCCTTTCAGGACCTAGGAAAGGTGGATCCCCCCCTCCCCGTCCCGTGGACACCAGTCACCTGGTGGGGTGACAGGAAAGCCAAGTCAGAGGAGGGGCTGGGGCCTGGCTGACACAACCCTGGCCATGAGAAGCTGTCTGTGTCCCTGTGTCTGTCCTTCTCTGTCTGCCTGTCTTTCTCTCTCTATTTCTCTATCTCTGTATCTCTCTCTCTCTGCCTGTCTCTGTCTCCCTCTGTCTCTCTTTCTCAGTATCTCTCCCTCTCTCTGTGTCTCCCTTTGTCTCTGCCTGTCTCTGTCTCCTGATTTTCTCCCTCTTTCTCTGTCTCTCTCTCCATCTCTCTCTATCTCTCTGTGTCTCCCTCTCTCTCTCCAGTGACTCCATATGGTCCAGACAATCTGTCTTCCCTCTCATGCCTCCCAGACTCAGAGTCCCAGGGGCTGGGTGGGTTCCAAGCTGAGGTAGGATTGGTGACATGATTGGTGGGGCCCCCTGTGATTGGAGATGATTGGCTGTGCCTGAATCATCTCCAATCACAAGGGGCCCCACCAAGGGGCCATCCAAGCGGGGTGGCCACATGGAGCCGAGTACAGGGCCCTGCTGAGTGTGTGGGGTCACCCACAGCCCAGCCTCAGGGCGATGGGTGCTCACAGGCCACCCGACAGCAGGCTCTCCTCGGAGAGACATTGCCCGCTCCCATGTTACAGCTTGTGCTGTGTTCTGCACGGTACCTTCAGGATGATTGGACCTCAGGCTCTGGTCCACGCCCACCAAGTGGCGCCCACCTTACCTTGTGTCCCGCGTGTGGGGCCGTAGTCTGGGCCACCTGCAGTCGCACCACGGCAGCCCACCGCTCCGCTGTCTGGTGGTCCCGAGCTGTCACCGTGAATGCCACCTGCTGAGCAGGAATGTGCAGCTCTCGGGCAGCGAAGACCGTGCCGTCTGCCCCCACTCGGAAGTCCAGGCTGCTGCTCTCGTACTGCGTTCCCTGGGTGCCCAGGCAGCTGCTGAACTTGACTGCAAGAGAAGGGGGGAGAGTCAGGCCAGGGCACGGGCCTCAAGGGCTTATTCTCTCAGCAGCAGGTTCTGAAGTCTCCCGCGTGCGCCAGGAAAACACGATTGAACTTGTTTTTGACCTTCTGAGAAGGCACTGTGCTTTATTTCCTCCAATGAAAACCAAACCGCCACCATCGATTCTGACTCACAGCGCCCCCAGAGGACAGAGTGGAACCGCCCCACAGAGTTTCCAAGGCTGTAATCTTTACGGAGGCAGAGTGCCTCATCTTTCTCCCATGGAGCGGCTGGTGGGTTCGAACCGCTGACCTTTTGGTTAGCAGCCAAATGTCCTAACCACTGTTCCACCAGGGCTCCCTTTTCCCCTCAAGGGCCTTAAACACACACATCACCCCCCAAACAGCAATGGACACACTGTCATTATATCTGAAACACAGCTATCCTCCATATCTACAGTAAGTCTCCCATCACCGCGACCTGAAGTCACCTGGGGCCTGTGAACGGCAGGTGAGTGTCACCATCTCAAATGTACCCTGCAGGCTAACCTTCCTTCTGCCCCACTCTGCCCTTAAAGCTCTCGATGGACCTAGTTTTCCACCCAAGGCCAAGTGCAGTGAACGAGCACGATAAAGCTATGACTTCTCTCCCAAAAGATACCGGGCAGTCCTAACCCTCGTCCCTATGAGCCTGACCTTTCTGGAAATAGGGTCTTTGAGATGTCAGTCCACCAAGAGCCCCTGGCTGAGTAGGCTGGGCCTGATCCCATCAGAGTGGCATCTTAGAAGGGGAGAGCGGACACTGGGTGAAGCTGTGTCCACGAGCCGCGAAGAACGCCCAGGATCACTGAGACCCCCCAGAAGTTGGGGCCGAGGCAAGTGTCAGCTCCTGCTGGAGCCTCAGAAGGAACTGACCTGGCGCCTTCGTCTCCTGGGGCTCC